CACAGCTTGCTGCTGTGGGTGTCAGCCGAGGCCGGGTGTTCATGGAACTGCATGTGCAGCCCGTCGAGCGGTGCAGGTTCCCCTGCTCCAGCCGTGTGGGTGCCTGGCCTGAGCGCTGGCTCAGCCGGGGCCTCTCCCTCCTCCCTGTTCAACTTAGTAAGTTTTGCACATTCGAATATCGACCTTTCCCAAATCCTTCTCAGCCTCCCTCCAAGGCGGCTGCTGCTGCGGGGAGTGAAAGGAAGAGTTGGCAGGACCTGAGCAAGCTGAATATCATTTTTCTTAAACAGTTCTGAGCTGTTCAGGGGCATAAAACCTCTAAGAGCTCCAAATGGCATTTTTCAATGTGCTGCCTCCCTCTCGAAAGGTCAGATGGGAGTTAAACTGGAGGCTGCTCTTCTCTCCATCTTAATCAGGCAACGCACATGCTTATCAAATTTCACTCCTGTCTCCCGACTCTGATGGAATTGATAAGCAGATCTGAATTCTCCCCGAGCTTTGCTGATGCAAAGGCGATGTGAGATAGAGCAGGCGATGCCAGGCAGGGGACACAGTGCAGCAGAGCAGCTACGCACGGTGCCAGCGTCACCAGCACCTCTCTGACCCAGCGCATGGTATCGTGATGACACGGCCAAGCCAAAGCTGTGATTTCTATTTATACCAAGTATAGCTGTGCTTTTATATTCCTCTTAGCATCTCTGAACCTTTCTCCTCTCCCAGCAGAGACCAGCTCAGCCTCGGGGCTCTTCCCTTGTCCTGCAGCCCCGTGGGTCTGCGATGCTCAGGCTTGGAAGGAAGAGCAGGGCAGGCTGTGCCATGGGACAGAGAAAGCCACAGGGCAAGAACAGCAGCTGAAATAGGAAGAGGAGGCAGCTGAGACCAGAAAGGAGGGCTGAAAACAAGAATTTTGCAGAAAGGAAGATTTGGAGTCAGCACGTGGAGGGGAGACGGGCGAGTGAGGGGGCTGCAGAGCAGTGTGCTCCAGTGCACCCCACTGCTCGACTTCCGAGAAGCAAGAAATGCTGTTAGTGCTTCCTTGCTTGGGAAAGTCCTGCTCTCCAGAGGGCTGATAGTCACAACCTTGACATTCAGCTCACAGCCAGCCTTCTACCTCCAAAAAATCAAACATGAATTAATAAAACCTTTAAATTAAAAATAAAGCACACCACAAAGCAAGCCTGAAGCAGAGCTAATTCTAGCAGGAAGGTACAAGAGGCTCCGGGAAGAGCGCTCCACTCGCAGCGGTTTTGCAGAAGGAGCGATCCCGAGGGAGCAGGGGCAGGATCCGCTCGGCGCGGGAGCCCGCCTGGGCGC